ATCTACCATAGTAGTAGTGTTAGTCGCTAGTCATGTCTGTCTCTTGGCAACCCCATGGACTGTAGCCCACCAGGCTCTTCTGTCCAAGATTCTTCCGGCAAGAATACTGGAATGGGTTGCTATTCCCTTCTCCAGAGGATCTTCCTGACCCAGGGTTCAAACCCGGGTCTCCTGTGTTGCAGGCAGATTCTTTGCCGTCTGAACTACAGGGAAGTCCTTGTATCTACCATAGTCACTGTCAAAAACTGATGATAAAATATGTGTTTCCAAGGAGAATCAACATATGAAAAAACTGATGGATATAATGCTAGACCAGACTTAACCTTAAGTATGATGAGGCAAATATTAAATGTTACATTTATAACTATGCAAAATATGTCTTTTTCAGACAACTAATCTACTCATTGAAATATGATATAAAAGTGTCCATTTGTCATGGAATGTGGGGGGTAGAGGTCTGAGAGAGAAGGGATGTATGGATACAGATAGCTGATTCACTTCGTTGTACAGCAGAAACTAACATGACGTTATAAAGCAACTATTCCACAGTAAAAATAATAAATAAAAAATAAAAGTTGTGTGATTTTGTGCAAGCTAAAAACAGTGTCAATTTTTAAGGTGTATTTATTGAGATGAAGGACTGGTGGCTTGTTTTGGTTTTTTATTATGCTATTTTCATGTTTGTGTCTGAAAATGTCCAGTACTTCCAGAATATATTATTCCTTCAGTTTGTCTAAATGAAATAGCTCTCATTATTCAAAATTTTTTCACGATCTCTAGAAGGGCAGAGGATGAACAATTTCAACATCACCCAATATAGGTCATGCTCATTAACAAAGGATGACTCACTTGAAAGCTCAGATTCTGCTCAGCTATATGATTGAGGGTCACAGGTGTCGTACAAACATAACTGTCCTTCCAACCTCTACATGTAACCTCAAAGGATCCTCAGTGGAGGCATGTTTTCACACCCTTACATGAACTAAACTTGAATAACAAAGTAATCCTGAATGTTACATTCAAATATCACAAGAAATGCCCTCAGTTCTGTCTGGCTAATTATTGTATGAGCTAGGTATTGTTGCATACAAATTTGCATACAAATTTCCTAAAATAAAATTATTTAATATGAGAGTTGAATTGTGAAGAAAGCTGAGTGCCGAAAAATTGATGCTTTTGAACTGTGGTGTTGGAGAAGACTCTTGAGAGTCCCTTGGACTGCAAGGATATCCAACCAGTCCATCCTAAAGGAGATCAGTCCTGGGTGTTCATTGGAAGGACTGATGCTGAAGCTGAAACTCCAAATACTTTGGCCACCTCATGCAAAGAGCTGACTCATTGGAAAAGACCCTGATGCTGGGAGGGATTGGGGGCAGGAGGAGAAGGGGACGACAGAGGATGAGATGGCTGGCTGCATCACCGATTTGACAGATATGAGTGAGTAGACTCTGGGAGTTGGTGATGGACAGGGAGGCCTGGTGTGCTGCGATTCATGGGGTCGCAGAGTCAGACACGACTGAGTGACTGAACTGAACTGAACTGAATGTAGTATCTTTATTATCGAATGAGGTGGTCCAGTGGGAAGTTGCACTGAGCTCTGCAGGCTTCTCATGAGACTATCATCAGACTCGAACCTCTACCTTGTGTTTCTAAGGCTCATCCATGATGTTGTGTGTGATTGTACTGCTCTTGTGACTTAAACCAATTAGTGTCATTTTATTCCTTTGATATGGGCTTCCCAGGTGGCCCAGTGGTAAAGAATCCACCTGCAGTGCAGGCGACACAGGTTTGATCCTCGGGTGGGAGAGATCTGTTGCTGCAAAAACAGAAATGAGTGGACAGCCTTTGGCACATACCAGCTAAACAGGCCTGCAAGAATTAAACAATCTTGGTTATTCTTTAGCTGTTATGACTAAAAACCACTTTCAGGTAGACTTGTCCTTCACAAAGCTTCAAAAAGGTGAATTACTTTCTGACTCTATGTAGATTATACTCTGTACCTGGCATTCTTCTCCCTTTATACTCTCTTGTAGAATGCTGAATTTCAGAAAGGTTATGGACCAATAACTTCAGGGACATCACACTCAGTTGCTGAGTTGTCTGATGTGAGCTGTGGCCGTTTGAAAGCTTTAAGAGAAAAATATGCAAGACCTTCATGAGGATATAAAACCTCTCTCTATTCCCTGAAGAGGAGGACCCAGTTCGTGTTTCGCTTTTGCCTGTCAAAAATGATAAAACTACTCTCTTCTATTTCCTCTAAACTGTCTCCTTATTTCTACTTGTCTTCGGTGGACAGGAAGCCAAGATTTTGGTAACAGATCCTCTGGAGTAGGAAATGGCAACCCACTCCAGTATTCTTGCCTGGAGAATCCCATGGACAGAGGAGCCTGGTGGGCTACAGAGCATGGGGTCGCAAATAATTAGACACTACTGAGCAACTAAGAACCTGTGGTTCAACAGTGGATGACGCTGACCCTTCTGTTAATTTTCTTATGTGTCATCTTCTTTATTATTTTGGGACTCCCATGGACAGAGGAGCCTGGCAGGCTACAGTCCATGGATTCACAAAGAGTCAGGCATGACTAAGCTGCAGAAAGTATGAGTTTAATAATTATGAATTGCCTTAATTTAATTTCACCACATTAATGTCCACATAAGAAACTTTTCTTTATCCCATGAAAGATATCTCCCACCATCATGAGATCTGACTCAGCTACCTGTGCTCCATGTCCTACCTTAACATACACACTGACAATTTTTAAATAGCAATACATTTTATTAAAGCAGAGTTACACAGAACAAGTGCTTCCCTGGTGGCTCAGCTGGTAAAGAATCCGCCTGCAATGTGGGAGACCTGGGTTCAATCCCTGGGTTGGGAAGATCCCCTGGAGAAGGGAACAGCTACCCACTCCAGTATTCTGGCCTGGAGATTTCCACGGACTGTATAGTCCATGGGGTCACAAAGAGTCAGACACGACTGAGTGACTTTCACTCTCACTTTCAAGTTCCTATACCTGAATTTAACACAGAATTGGTGCTTTGTTACTGAAAAGTGTAACCCACATACTCAGACCTGCATCATCACACAGCCCAGTAGCTTGTTACAAATGCAGAGTCTAAGGGCCCACTGAGGACCTGTTCAATCGGAATTTGCACTTGAATTGGAATTCCTGCTGGCTTGTATGCACAAGGAGGTGAGAGAAGTGCTGGCATGAAGAGTTTTTCTCCAGTTCTATGGCAACCCATTCCAGTATTCTTGCCTGGAGAATCTCATAAACAGAGGAGCCAGGCAGGCTACAATTCATGTGGTTGCAAAGAGTTGGACACGCCTGAAGTGACTGAGTATGTGCACATGCTCCAGGTCTAACTGTTAACATTTAGGGCAGGATGGCTGTGTTGAATGCTATCTTGTTTACTGTGGATATTTTGCAGCATTTCACCTTCAATTGCCAAGTAACCAAGAGCAAAACCATCCCTGGATGGAAATCTCAACCCAAATTATGAAAACTGGAAGCATCCTGAGAGAATCCCAACCAAGGCTCCATCCCAAAATCAGTTCATCCATTTCAGCAGAACAGTAAATTCCTCTGAGCCCCATTCCTGAAATGAAGGATGGAGTTACAATAGAACTACCTCATAGAAGGAACTTCTCTAAAAACTAAATCAGATCATCCTGATTATGTGCAAACGTAGGTTATGGTACATTAAAAATCCTTAAATATATCTCATAACATAAACCTTTTACAATGAGGAGCAAAATGATACCTCTCAGCTTCAGATAGAAGTATGACTTGGTGGTGGTGGCTTAGTCACTCAGTCGTGTCTGAATCTTGTGACCCCATGGACTGTAACCCACCAGGCTCCTCTGTTCCTGGGATTTCCCAGGCAAGAATGTTGGATTGGGTAGCCAGTTCCTCTTCCAGGGCATCTTCCTGATCCAGAGGGTGAACCCATGTCTCCTGCTTTGCAGGGGATCTCTTGAATTGCATGCAGATTCTTCACCAACTGAGGCACTAGGGAAAGCCCCCAAGTATGAAATGCCTCAGTTTTAGGAGCATCAGAAAGGCCACTAGTTATGTCCACTAATGGAGTGATGTTGTCTCTCTTATAAGCAGAGAATGACAGGTTTCACAAGGCTGTATGGGCTGTGTAGCCATTGCAAGTCAATGCTTTACTGACCCAAGGGATCTTTTTGAGACAGTTGCCTCAATCTAACTAGTTGGGATTGTTTTAAATTCAGAGATAAGATGAGGTGCTAGGAGTTTAGACTTCTGGAAAGCAAGAGAGATGATGAAGGATTCATAACTGAATTACCTGACTTATAACTGGTATCCTGGAAACAGAGAATTAGGAGGGAGGGGGAAAAAAAAAGAACTTTGTGTCAGATGAAGTCCAACAGGGAATTCAGGTGCTTATAGGTCACTGTAACAAGAGGGAAATGTACCTAATGAGCAGACAGAGAGATCTGTAAATGACCACCTCTGCTGCAGCCCTGAGCTTGTACAACCTGGGCCTGGACAAGGAACGGTTGTTGGGTTTGAAGTCTTAAATATGAGTAAAGGACCAGTGCTTGACCACTTCATGCTGCCTTGTGTGGGGACAGAGCTTCAGTCTCCATCATCAACCATCCAGGAAGATAATCAGCCTTCCACATGGAGAACTTCCTCTCAGTATTTCCATGTAGTTGAGTTGAAGAGTCCAGGAGACACTGCAGAAGAAAGACAGAGTCAATGAATCCGAAAATGGTTACCTGAGTCCACCAGCGAACCAACTCAGCCTAGGTCAGAGCCCAGAGACCACTGTGGTTATTTCCTTGCATGATTAAAATATATCAATGTATCCTGATAATGATGAAAAGAGAACTGAACACTGAACTCAGTAAAGCAATGTTCAGTGATACCAAGTAAATGATAAAAATGGAAGCCCAATTAGAAGAGAGATGAGAGGCATAAGGGGCTTTCCAGGTGGCTTAATGGTAAAGAATTTAACCGCCTATACAGGAGCCACAGGAGATGTGAGTTTCTGTGGGTTGGGAATAACCCCTGGAGGATGGCATAGAAACCCACTCCAGTATTCTTGCCTGGGAAATCCCATGGATAGAGGAGACTGGCAGGTCACAGTCTATGGGGTCGCAAAGAGTTGGACACAACTGAGCAACTGAACACACAGGTTACATAAAGAGCTTCCAGTAAAAGTAGAACTTAAGTCTGATTATCTAGCTAATTTGAGTAGAGAATTAGTATATTAGTGATGTAGGGATATAAAATATAGTTAGGGCATTTCTAATTTTTTTATGTAATGTATTTGACCATGTTTCAATATTGATTAAAAAGATACACACTGGGCTTCCCTGGGAGCTCAGTGGTAAAGAATCCACCTTTCTGTGAAAGAGAGAGGTTTGATACCTGGTCTGGGAAGATCCCGCATGCCTCAGAGCAACTAAGCTCATGCATCACAACTACTGAGCCTGTTCTCTAGAGCCCAGGAACCACAACCACTGAGATCCTCACACCACAGAGACCATGTTCTGCAATAAGAGAGTTCACTGCAATGAGAAGTCCATGCACCACAACAAAAAGGAGACCCTGCTCACTGCAACTGAAGAAAACCCACTTAGCAACAAAGACATCATCACCAAAAACAAATAAATAAATATGAACACCAAAGAATGTTTGTGAGTACCTCCTTGCAACAATTTGCTGGAGATATATGCTTCACAGCATCTTCTGTGGGGGAAAAAAAAAAATTCACATGTAGGGAGGGGAGTACTAATGAGCTTTGTTGTTTAGTCACTAAACTTTGTCTGCCTCTTTGTGACCCCATGTACTGCAGCCCACCAGGCTCCTCTGTCCATAGGATTTCTTGGGGAAGAATACTAGAGTATGTTGCCAATTCCTCCTCCAGGGGATCTTCCAGACCCAGGGATTGAACCCATGTTCTTTTGGGCAAAGATCAGAACAAGGGCTAGAGTGCACCCTTGGGACTCATCAAAAAAGATCATAATCCAAGAATAACAGCAGCAAAAAAAGATGTCACATATGAAGAGGGAGAAAGAGGCTTGCTCCTCTGCTTTCATATAAAAATACTTACTCAAATGAAAATGAAATAAGCACAGGAGAAACAAGTTTTGCTGCCTGATATTAAAAATGTCCAATGTGCAATTCCTATCCATTGCACTTTATAAGCATCCTTTTGTTAAGTATTATTTGGTTCTGTTTGCTCATTTTTCTCTTGGGTCATACAACCCATGAGTATTTTGGACCATAAGTTATTGCTACTCTTGCTAACTTTCTTTTTTCTTTTTATTTATTTCTGCTGGGCACCAAGGGAATTGTAAGGACACATGAAATGTCTTAAGAACCAAAGAAATTTGCTTACCACAGTCTCTCAAGGACTATTTGATCTATAGATCATATAGAGGACCATGTAGATCTATATTCTCTTTCATGTCCATTCTCTATTTCCCTATCTCTTTCTCCATATATAGAGATATATATTGCTATTGCTGCTGTTTTGTCACTAAGTCATGTCTGACTCTTTGTTACCCCAGGATCTGCAGCACACCCAGCTCCCTGTCCTTCACTGTCTCTTGGGGTTTTCTCAATTCTATGTCCATTTAATCGGTGATGTGATCTAACCATCTTATCCTTTGCCACCCTCATCTCCTTTTGCCTTCAATCTTTCCCAGCATTAGGGTCTTTTCCAATGGGTCAGCTCTTCGCATCGGGTGGCCAAGTTGTGAAGCGTCAGCTTCAGTATCAGTCCTTCCAATGAATATTCACAGTTGTTTTCCTTTAACATTAACTGGGTTGATCTCTTTGCAGCATATATAAATACACACACACACATACACACACACACATATACAGGTTTAAAGAAATGATACAGATATATACTATAGCTGTTCACTGGAAAAAATTATATATCTTTAATACCTGTCATAAAGTGGTCATACCAAAATCAAATGCCAAGTTTCATCAGTACCTGGGAAAATAACAAAGTGGAATTTCTAAATGCCATTTGTACATAATCTGATCTGATCAACTTGAGTTGCATCAAACAAAAAGTCATTTGTGGTTGTTAAATTGTGGTAGAAAAATTCTTGAAAATAATACAACCGAGAAAGCCAGGGTATTACTGTGTGTCTTTTGCTTTCTTGCCTTGCAGAGGGTGAGAAGTCTTCAGAGCAGGGGTACTGAGCTCACATATACCAAAGTGACTTTCATACACAGAGGCCAGAACTCAGTCATCAGAAGGTACTAGAGAAGAGATTCAGTTAAACATACAGGTTAGGACTTTCTTTGTGATTCAGTGGTTAAGAATCCACCTCCCAATGCACGGGATGCAGGTTCAATCCCTGGTTTGGGAACTAAGATCCCACATGCTGCAGGGCAGCTAAGCCCATTCGCCACAACTAGAGAACCCATGCACTGCAACTAGAGAAGCCTGCACACTGCAATGAAGATCCAGCACAGACAATACACACACACACACACACACACACACACACACACACACACACACACATATATATATATGCAGGCCACATTTGCAACAATTTCGTAATGTGGTAGAGAAATTCAAAATGGAGGACGGGCTCCTTGTGAAGTTTCAGCAGCAGCAAGGAGACCACCTTATTCCTCAACATCCTCTGACGTCTTCTCTCCTCACTTTCCCTCTTTCTCACTTCCCTCACCACACTGGCTTCCTTTTTTTCACCTAGAACATCTTAAACAAGCACCTTCTCCAGAGCCTTTGCACTGGCTGTTGTCCCTGCCAGGGACACACCTGTCCTGATAAGTTCATGGCTCCTGTTCTCTCTTACAGGAGGTCTTTGTTCAAATGTCACCTTATTTGTGGTTTTACCTGAACAACCATAAAAATAGCATCCTTTCTTTACTTTTTCTTTTATACCTGCTTTTATTTTATTCATAGTATGTGTCATCAGATGCATGCTATATATAATTTTATTTGCTATATTAACTCTCCATGACTGGATTTTTAGGATATTTTGATTACCAAAACACTGTACTCATTGCATGAACAAAATATTGACATTAATTTCCTAATTGCAGAATATATAAGGTAGCATTTCGACAATGTGAGTAATATCCATCTGCATGAAAATTAGTCATGTGTGTTTTTTGTTTACTTGTAGTCATTTCTACCACATGGCATCAAGGACATCACAGGAGTTTCAAAATTTCTTCTTCTGGGGTTCTCAGAGGAACAAGAGCTGCAGCCCCTCATATTTGGCCTTTTCCTCTGCATGTACCTGATCACTGTTTTTGGAAACCTCCTTATCATCCTGGCTGTCAACTCGGACTCCCACCTCCACACCCTCATGTACTTCTTCCTCTCCAACCTGTCCTTTGGAGACATCTGCTTCACCTCCATCACCATCCCACAGATGCTGCAGAACATTCAGGCACAGCAAAGTTATCACCTATGAATGCTGCATCATCCAGATGTACTTTTCCATACTGTCTGTAGGGTTGGATGACTTCCTTCTAATTGTGATGGGCTATGACCACTTTGTGGCGATCTGCCACCACCTCTACTACACAGTCATCATGAATCTTGATTGAAGGCACCTGATTTAAGGCTTCAAAGCCCAGAGTGGGGATGTAAACCCATGGCTGATTCATGTCAATGTATGGCAAAAACCACTACAATATTGTAAAGCAATTAGCCCTCAACTAATAAAAATAAATGAAAAAAAAAAAAAAAACCAAAGCCAGACATTTCACATCTTTTTCCAGATTCTTTCATTAGATTGAGGAAGTAGGACATGCTCCTTGTATTTATTTCCTGGAACTTCCATTTCTTTTAACTCCTCTCTATAAATTACATCATCACTTTATTAATTTGTGACCTCTCTCATTTTCCAGAGTTTCCATTTTATGGTTTTTCCATTCTCTCAAATTTATTCCCAAGGTAGGATATGAACAGTCTGGGAATTTTTCATTATCATAGTGTTAGATATATTCCTTGACACAAATGTATTATTATGTCATGCATGCATGCATACTAGTCTCTCATTTGTGTCTGATTCTTTGATATCCCACAGACTGTAGTCTGCCAGGCTCCTCTGTCCATGGAATATTCCAGATAAGAATACTGGTGTGGGTTGCCATTTCTTACTCCATATGTCATGTATATGTGGAATACTTCTGAAAAGCCAAAATTAGGCAAGTAGAGAGTAGAATAGTAGTTCCCAGGAGCTGAGGCTTTTGGAGAGATGCTGATCAAAATGTACAAAGCCCCAGTTATAAAATGAAGATGTTTTGAGGAGCTAAGAGAGCATGGTGACAACAATTAATTATTCTCTGTTTTATCTTTGAAAGTTGCTAAGAGAGTAATTCTCCAATGTTTCGCCATAAGAAAAAAATATGTTAATTTTTTCAGGTGATGTTAACTAACATTATTTTGGTAACTATTTTGGAATACATAAACATCTCAGATCATTACATTATTGACTGAAAACACCATCTCAAGTAACCCTGAGAAAACTGCTCCAAGGAGGTTGCAGGGAGGCGCCAGGTTATGCAGAAGTCTTGCAACAGGGGGCGGGTAGTCTGAATGTCAAAAGTTGTTGTTGTTGTTGTGTGTGTGTGTGTGTGTGTGTGTGTGTGTGTGTGTGTGTGTGTGTGAATTAAAGAAAATTAGATACCCCAAGTTAAGAACAAAAATTGGTCATGACATATCTTCCAAATATTGGTTGAATTCTGGACCAAAAGGAGGAACTGAGGAATGGAATATTTCCTGCCATATTGTAAACAAGAGATGCCATTCATCAGCAATTTCAGCCACCACAGAAGGTGAGCTGGTGAGCCCTGAGGGAACTCAGGAAGGAAAGAATATCTGCTATCTTGCAGCCATCAAACTGCTGCCACTCCCTATGGTGAAGCCCAAGGAAGCTCAGGATGTGAAAGACACAGAATGAAAGTGAAAGTCACACAATCCTGTCTGATTCTCTGCTAGCGCATGGTCTGTAGCCCACCAGGCTCCTCT